TTGATTTAGCGTAAAGAACTGAACAAAGATAACTTGTGGAACTATAATAAAAGAGACATTTAGTGCAATAAAAGTTGAGCGAGATGGGAGAGTGGTGAGCAAGATGGGATAGTGGTGAGCAATATCGGAGAGAGGAAAGAGGAGAGCAAGATTTTCTATGTATCCCAGATATGCGTGAATCCATTTGGATATAATGTATCTAGAACAAACTACACTTAAATTTGACCTCATGTACATGAGATACATGTATCTTGAGACCGGAGGCACCAAAATTTGATAAGATAAATAACATTGCAAACTAGAGTGTATCTAAGTAATTACTTCCTAAAGTAGTGATATTCATGTAAGTTCCCTAATATTTGTTACCGCAAAATTATTTAGCGGCAATTAGGACCGTCTCAACCATAAGGCCACTAAAGCAATCGCTTGGGTCCCTAATTATTTAGGGCCCCCAATTTATTTTATATATATATATATATATTACCAATTGTTTACTTTATTTTATGTGGAGGTCATTGTAATAATTGAGAAACAGAATAGTGTTTGGTTAACTGTAGTATCCTTTCTTACGTGGCTAGTGGCTACCTATTTGTAGACTTGATTATATGTTGACGAGTATCATGAACCCACATTATTATTCTTATATTCCCCTTTTTATTTTTATCCTCTCATTATTGAATATTATGAAGTCTGCCAAAAGATAAAAGCTTTTGCATTATGCAAAATATATTGTTATGTGTTTATAAATAGATCAAACTTATTTTTTGGTGTATTCTTTAAATTTCAAGCACTGCAACAAATCAATACTTTAATATCATTATATCAACTTATCAAATTGAGCGCAACTATTTCAATATCATTATATAAGCCTTTTAAATTCTTGAGTCACGTTGTATTATTTTAACTTTATGTTATATTTTTTTCAATTAAAAATTTTCATTATTTACATTCTTACTTCATAAGGTTTGCATATATCCAGCCTTTTCGAGACTTCACTTGTAGGATTATATTGAGTATGCTATAGTTATTCAATTTATATATGACAACTAAAAAAAATAAGACCTCGCTATGTAGTTTGGCTTTAGGCCCCCAAACTTGTTGAGACAGTCCTAGCGGCAGTTAAGTTAATATCATTGCATCTAGAGCCGTTAGAACCTTTAACGATATTTATATGTATTATAGATTATAGATAACCATATTATATTATTATCGCTAAATATAATAACAATAATTATATTACTATGGTTAAATAATGGGGAAATGCCCAAGATAGTCTCTTATCTTTGGGTTAAGACTCAAAATCATCCTTGTATTTTTACATGGAGCACGAATCCTCATGTTTGGTGTTTTCCTAAACTTTTGCCTATTTTTTAATATTAATTTTGTACACAATTTTATGTATGGAGTATTCAAATGTTTTTTTTTAATAAATATTTAGTGTTTGTGTCGTGATTTTCCTATTTATAGAAAAATCACTTTTTGAAATGTTCTAAGTATAAAACAATTTGAGAAATACTTAGAAAAGAGTTGCCACTTAATTTTTTAAGGAAATCAAGAAAACTTATAATTTTTCAAAGATTTAAACAGAAAAAATCATTTGAAAATACGAAAAAGGATTCGGGGTTCAATTTACACTTCGAGAAGGGTTTAAACATTCGAAGTATCCGCTAACATGCGGTTGACCTGTGACTTGATTAAAATATATTTGACTATTTTTAGAAAAAATAATAATTTAACATAAAAATTAATAACTTATAATATATTTGATTAAGAAAATAATTAAATAAATGACGCATTTTATTTCATTTTATTTTTTTAGAGGAAGGGATCCAAAATGATACATTTGACTTGAAATACAAGTGATTGAAATATTAATAAAACTAGATTAATTAGAATTTATTTAATTCATTTTGAAATAATAATTTAAACCAATTTAATAAATTAAAGCATGAATATCATTTTGAATTAATTGACTAAACTTTTTGAGAAAATGACTAAGTAAGCATTATTATTTTTTAATTAATTGTAAAGGTTTTGACTAACATTTTTAAAGTTTATTTGAGAAAAGTACTTTAACTTAAAACAATTTTAAAAATGAGTAAAATATGATTAAGCAAAAAGCATTAAAGAACATCTCTTTTAAGAACAAAAGGTTTAACTTAATTGAAGATATAAAATTTTGACCAATCTACTTGATTAATAAAATAAATAATCACAAAAACATGAAATATATTAAAATTAAACCAACACAATGAAAATAACTCATCTTTTGGGGAATCTAATTAAGTTAATTAACAATTCTAAAATTAGAGTTAATGATAAGAAAACCAAACAATAAATAAAGACAATTAAATAATTTAAAGGTAAAGGTGAAATGAATTTGGGCCCCCTTTGACATTAACTCATTGTTGCCTGAAAAATTGGGTTGTTGGTCCATTTCTTCACCCTTTATATTCAGCATGCATACTAATGTATATCAGCTGTATATCTTTGTATATTTGCCTTTTTCCACCTTCGTTTTTGACTTCCAAGAGCCCTATTCTAGCTTCCAAACTTTGCATAAAGGCTGACTCTAGAAAAATGGAGATGTTTGGTGTCGGTCCGACTCGAATGCACGTAAAGGAGTCCACCTTGGACTCAAATACACATCACATGTAAATAAAAAGGATAAATATTAATAAACTCACAAATTCTCTATTAAATTAAACAGTAGAGAGCTTAAGACCTAAATAATTATGAATTATGTATATCAAGGGACATACATCACTTAAAGGGAGGATTAAAGAAGAAAACAAAAAAAAAAAATCAAAGAGATATTCCCATAATTATCACTAGCATGAGACTTAATTGTGAACAAGAGATAAATCTCCTAAACATGATCAACACTTAAAACATACACATGTGAACATTAACCGGAAGTAAATTTCAAGGGAAAACAAAATAATGAAACAAGATTGGAGAAAGAGAAGATTAAAATATTATCTAATTCTTAAAGAACTACTACAAAACAAACTTTAATGGTATAATTTCATCAAAGGCAGCAAATCAATTTTTGCTGATTTGAAAGCAAATACGAACTTTCTTAAATAACTAGAAGTTAAGCACATAAACTCAACATAATAATTTTCACACTTTTTCATTAAGGTTTTTCCATAGACAATGCCTAAATCGCATAAGTAAAATGACTTTATATCTTAATACCTAAGCTATCACAGCAGCTAAAATATTTAACAACAGTCTAGTATTAGCTCAAAATATTCGAAAAGGCTGTCAACTAAGGACAGAACCAACACACTTTTGTTAACAATCTTCACATAGAGTATCGAACTCACAAAATATGCTACATTGAAACGGAATACAAAAGGAAGTGAGGTTATCTTTTTTCGGGCAGCGACTGGAACGACGAGCTTAACCACGAAGAACTTCCACCATTGTGAGCAGATTTTGATGAGCTTCGATAAATAAAATAACTTCAAATTCGAATAGAAATGACTCAAACTCTCTTCTTCTTCTTTTTCAGGTTGTTCTCTCTGTATTTTTTTTTTTGTCTCTCCCCCCCCCCCGCCCCCCCGCCCCCTTAGCTCAAAATATACGAAAAGGCTGTCAACTAAGGATAGAACCAACACACTTTTGTTAACAATCTTCACATAGAGTATCGAACTCACAAAATATGCTACATTGAAACGGAATACAAAAGGGAAGTGAGGTTACCTTTTTTCGGGCAGCAACTGGAACGGCGAGCTTAACCACGAAGAACTTCCACCATTGTGAGCAGATTTTGATGAGCTTCGAAAAATAAAATAACTTCAAATTCGAATAGAAAAGACTCAAACTCTCTTCTTCTTTATTTTTGGGGCTGTTCTCTCTGTATTTTTTTTTTGTCTCCCCCCCCCCCCTTAAAACGTTCATGAAATGGGAGTATTTATAGTGGGAGAATGGAATCGATTGGGGGGTAACCAGTGAGGAAGATTGGATTTCAAAATTCAAATATTTCTTGGAAAGGAAAACGTTGAAAGTTGTCAATAGTATCAATTTGTACAATCTTCAACGGATTGAGGAGGATCGTCCGATTTCAAGTGAAAGGCGAGTGAGGTGTGAGATTTCGACACCTCACTATTCTCAAACGGCTATTGTACGAGAGGATAAGGAGATAGAGGAGAGGACACGACTTTTTTCCGGAATTGCCGGATCGATGCGACCGATCATTGTTCTTTGTGAGGAAGAAGACATATAGGGGTCGTAGGGTATTGCTGGATTTTGGGGTGAAAAGTATGTGGGCCGGGTCGTTTGATGTTGTTAGGTTTTGTACGTAAATTGGACTGGCAATTGGAGAAAAATGGAATTGAGGAAGTTGGGCTACTGGGATGTTGCTGGAATATTGGAATTATGAGAATGAGCTAGAGGAAAGGAAATAAGAATTGCATTGTATTGGGTAAGCTGAATTGGGTCTGCTAATGGGAAGAATTGGGTCATGGGAACAGGCCCATTTTTTGGTCTTTTAGAGGGTTAAGGATAGTAAATTTCATATATGACATATATTATAGTACTATTTTCAAGTTATAGCAGTAGATTTAGACTTTCAAGTTATAACATTAAAAATTTCAGGTTGTAACATATTATCAAAAAAAAATAAAAAATTAATAATTAAAAACATTTGATTCGAAAAGAATAAACTGATAAAAAGAAATAAAATAAAACATTTCTGAAGGAAAAAATGAAAAAAACGGAAATAGGGATGGCTTTTAAGTTTGAATTAAATTAAGATAATTATTAATTAGCATGAATTCAGGAATTTCAAACTAATTAAGAATATTCAGTTTCCTTAATTCACTCCAATTTGTTAAAATTAATTTAAAAATCAGATTTTATCCATTTTTCTTTTATGTTTCTCTCTCTTTGTTTTCTTCCAGAAATTGAGACTGGCGACAAATTGATTTTTTTTTTGTTGAAAAAATGTGTTTTGTTTGTGATGGACAACTACGTATCAATATTAATTAAACATGGCGGAAGATGGATTGCTTCAGGTGAGTATTTTTAATTGTTTACTGTTTTTATTTGGATTTCAATGAAATAGAAAAAAAATGAAACTGTAAAGCGTCACTATATTGAATGTGATATTTTTTTTTGTATAAACAATACGTTTTGTTCATAATACTTATTATTTGTTGTGAAATTGTAATATTAGTGATTTTCTTGGTAAGTTTCTGTTTTTTGGTAGTGGTTTAGTGACATCATATTAATGATAAATGGTTTTTTTCTTGGTAAGTTTCTGTAATATTATTGATTACTGGTTTTTTTCGTGAAAAAATAAATTAGAATGTATAGTTTTGAATGAATTTGTTAGTGTAATTATAATGAATTTGGTACGAAAGTGTATTCAGTAATGTGAAAAAAAGGTTATTTAGAATTTTGAAGAATTATATGACAGTTGTTTTAAGTTAATATGAAAGTGTGTTAACTAGTTAGTAAAAAAATTTATTTTGAAGTTTGAATAAGTGTATTAAAAATGTTTTAAGTTGGTATGAAATGTGAAATGTTATTATTTATATAAGTTTTGTCAATTATGCATAAATTTGTGCTAAAGGAATGAACTATTTGGTATGAGAAATATATAAATTTGGTATAAATGATGATTGGATGTATGAATTTTGTAATAAGTAGGTATGAAATCTGTTTTATTTTTTAAAATGAAATATGTTTATAGTTTACTGTCTGAATGATTCTTGTATGAAAAAATAATGACAAGTGTGTATAATTTTATTTTTTTTGTATTATGTAAGACTAATTTTTATTTTTTTTAATGAAACAGGGAAATATGTTGATTTTCAGATAGAGGGGATTATATATGAGTATTCTAGTCTTTATAGTGGTCTAGTAAGTGCGATAACATCGCAGCTAATGATAGATGCTAATATTCACAATATAGAGATAAAATCTATAGTTAGTGATAGATGTCCCCCTGTTAGTATCCACAATGATGTAGGTGTGCGGGTTTTTTTAGATCAAAAGAAATCTAATGTAGATTTCTTTACGAAATATCCATTGTGCATAACTTTGAAGAATATAGCAATAGATCATCAGGATTCTATAGTTGTTGTTGATAGGAGACAATCTGATGTTAGTAGAACACTAACTAACTTTGATTTATACTCCAGCAACTCCATCCGCTTGATAGGAGTGAATTTAGATGGAGTTGTCGATGAGAATACTGATGAAGGAAATGGAGTAATCAGTTACCTTTCTAATTTATTTATAGCTGAAAAACAGATTTACAATGATAAAGAAACACTTATGGAGGTTATGCGACATTATGGAGTTGTGGAAAAATTCAGATTTCTTGTGACTCGTTCTAGTTCATCTTGGTAAGGATTTTATTTATTGTTTGAATGTGTATTTATTTTGTAGTGTATTTGGTATATCAATTTTTGATGGATTTTTTTTTGTTTTTTAAACAGTTATTACCTGAAGTGTCCTGCTGATAATTGTTCCTGGATGATGAACTCATCATGTTTGAATCAATCGAAGATATTTAAAATTAGAAAGTACTGTGTGGAACACACTTGTTCCGTTAGAGATAGAGTGTATGCAAGGCGTCAGGGAATAACTGACGTTGTAGTTGTTTTAATAATGGATAAATTTATTGATCCATCGACTGTATACACTCCAAAAGATATAGCGGAAGACGTTTTGAAAGTGCATGATGTTGCGCTAACATACATGCAGGCCTGGAGAGCTAAAGAAAAGGCGATAAAATTGGTGCGTGGAGATCCAGCCAAATCATATGCCAAACTTCCAGGTTTTTTTTAGAACTAAATTTTGTATTTTATATTACTGAGTAAATTGGTGTGAATTTTAACAATGCAACAATCTGGCATGCAGTTTGTTTACATACTAAATTCCCAATATCCATTTGGTTTCCTTTCTGTATCCAATTAATATCCATTCTGTATATAATTTGAATATAATTGGTGTCCATATTTTATCCAGCTAGTATATTTGTTGTGTTGTAATGTTCAGCTATATAATTATAAAATTAATTGTAAAAACTGAAAAAATTCCAAGTTATCTATACATATTGGAGCAGACATATCCTAGTTCGGTTTTAAAATTAGAAAGGACGGAATGTGATAAATTCTTATATGCATTTGTTGCATTAGAAGCATGTATTAGAGGTTGGGAGTATTGTAGGCCAATTGTAGTTGTTGATTGGGCAGCTTTGAAAGGCGCATATGGTGGTACAATGTTGACTGCAAGCACTATGGATCTAGGAGGTATTTTTTTAATCGTTTACATTTATAATCAACAATAAATTTGTATGATATTTTGTTTTAATTAATGCATCAGGTCACATACTTCCACTTGCTTATGCCATAGTGGATTCTGAGAATGATGCATCATGGACCTGATTCTTTGAACAGTTTACGGAAGTATATGGAGAAAGGAAAAACATGTGTTTTATGTCAGATAGAAACGAGAGCATATGGAAAGGGACTGCCAGAGTATATCCTGGATTGGAACATTTTGCTTGCATATGGCATTTATGCTGTAATGTTTTGAAGAACTTCCATAGGAATACTGAAGATTTGAAGAAGCTATTTTTTACAATGGCAAAGGCTTATGCTATACAACAATTTGAGGCGATTATGCAAAGAATAGACCATATAGATCCAAGAATAAGAGATTATTTATATGATATTGGGTATAGCAAGTGGTCAAGGGCGTATTCAAAATGTAAGCGAACATGGACCATGACTTCAAACGTAGCCGAATCTTTGAATAATGTTAACAGGATAGCAAGGAGGTTGCCAGTGATTTCACTTCTTGAATTTATGAGGGTAACAGTTCAAAGATGGATTCATAAGCACAACGAGGAGGCTGCAAAAACTAGATCAGAGCTTACAAAAAAATATGATCTTATGCTCCAGAAAAGTATTGCTTTGTTTAGCAGTATGAGGGTATGATTTTCCCTTTATTCATTATTATTTAAATGTATTCATGTATTCAATTAGTATGATTATTGAATTAATTTAGTATAAATTGCCAAATAGAATAAACAGTACCTTTTTTTGTGACTTGTTTTTTTGTAACAGTATTTTAATGATCAATATTTTTGTGTGTTAGGTAATACCATCAACAGTTGATATGCATGTTGTTGTTGATGGACCAAAGCGGTACATAGTAAATTTAAACACTAAGATGTGTAGTTGCGAAAGATTTCAAAATGATGAGATACCGTGCGGGCATGGAATAGCATTTCTTAGATACAGAAGACTGCATGAAACAGATTAATGCTCTCCTTTTTATAGCAATAGGAATTTTCAAGATACATATGCCATCCCTGTTGAACCTCTCCCATGCGAGAGTACATGCGATATACCAAGTTATATTTCAGAGCCTAAATTGATGCCGCCAGGTCCAAAGAGAGCAGCAAGAAGACCACAACTTGAACGCTGGGAAAGGGTTTGCTGATGTAAAATTCAAAAGGTCTAAAGTTACTTGCAGTAGATGTCATCAAGTTGGCCACAACAGGACAACATGTTCAAATTATCCTGTGCAAAAAAAATGATTATTTGTTTGGTTAGACTATATAAAATTTTAATTTTGTTTTGTCTTTTAGACTCATGTTTTGTTTTGATATGAAACATAATTTGTTTGAAATGCATTATAACTAAGTGTTTAATATACTGTTCATTTTTTATACGCGATGCATTCATTAATCATACAAATTGCATACTATTGGAAATAAAATTTATTTCAATTTAATATATAAGATAGTGTTAATATTAGTGACAATTATACAAGGTAATTATGGAATGCATTTGGTATCCTGAGTAATTAATGTAGTTTATCATGAATATTAATTTGGTTTCCAACTTGTGTCCTACTATAAATGAAATTAAAATAATTTTTTTACCAATCTTATTCAGGTGTCATTCAAATACTAACTTCAGTTTATATCAAATCTTTATACCAATTCATACATACAATATTCCAACAATCAAAACATTAAAGTCAGAGACATACATGTATTAATCAGATTTCATACACATTCCATCCAAAAATATGTTTAGAATATAAAGTAAGCATAATGTGATATTTTTAGAAAAAAATCGCTAGTTTGACAATTAATCCAATTTCATACACTTTTGACAATTAATAGACAAATCGCTATTTTCATACAAATTTAATAATTCATATCATATACACAGTTAATAGACAGACACTAAAACACAATTCATACCATTATATGACAATAAATACAATACCTAACATTCAAACATTAAAATTGGATACTAATTATTAGATAAAGTTGGTTCATGATCTCTAAATTGGTATTATTTTTTAATCTAGTTAGTAATACACATTAATATCATTAAGTCTAAATGTTGAATCAAAATGGTCTGCAATTTGTATAAAACTGGCATCCCGGAAAATGGTATATTCAATGTGTAATATATACCCCAAAAAGTGAATCCAACTGGTATGAAGTCTGTATATAACTGGCATCCCGATAAATGGTAATTCTTTTGTAGATGATATCTGACTGGAATTAAACATATGATATTATATATCATCAAATACTTTAACACAAAAAATTGTCCAAAAGTTTAAAAAAATAAAATGTTGTTCTAAAAAAGTAGAAGGTGCAATAGACTATATCTAATTTCCTGTCCGTTGTCTTGGTGTAGGATAGTTGGTGGTATCCGGAACATGTTCTTTTGCTATGCAAGGTCCACCAAATTTGCTAGCAACCGTACCAGTAACTTCACTCTCACTGATCGCACCATCCTCATTCTTTGTTTTTCCATAATGCCAAAGGATTGCGGCATACCTTTGACGATAGTACTTTGCATCGATATCAATAGAATGCATATCAAAAACATCATTACTGATGTATTCAACAAATAGACATGTGTACAAACCACAATCACTGAAAAAATGAAAAAAATAAGAAAGAAAAAAAATTAAGAAATAAATTAATTTAACTCTTTTCTAATGAAATCAGTAAAGTATAGAAATACGTACTTTGAAATATCTTCTTGTTGAGGAGCATGCATCATATGCTTGATATCAAGTGGGTGGGATTGAGACTTATGTACATATTAGGGAGTTTATTTGCATACCAATCAAGCCTTTTACCATAAAATCCAGTGCTCGTCAAAAATAGTGGTATCATTGTTGCAAGTTTACCAACTGCTTCATTTACTTTCTTGGTGTGAACAGATCCTCCCTTCATCGAGTCGTATACATGTAGACATCTAAGCTTGATTCTGAATACAACCAAAAACCAATGAAATTTCTCACTAATATTGACAGGAATAATGACATTGTCAACACTGTCCCAAGGAATGTTGGCCAGCAGTTTGAAGCCTCTAATGCATTGTCCAACATCATGGTCGGGAGAAATGGATCTCATGTCGCAATTTGACTCTCTCCATTGTTTCTCAATGTTATCAACCCACGTCATAAACCGACAGTCAACTGTACTGTATGATAGTGGTATGGGAGAGTACTTTGCCTTCTTTCGCAGATAATACATAATGGTATTAACGTGCTGTTAACATTTAAAAATACATTAAAAATGTTTCAAATATATACAGAATGCATATAAATTCCATTCACCATCATGTTTAGTGCATTGTTCATGAAAGTTTATTTTTATTCCAAATTAAATCAAAAATCATATCAAATGCATACATGAACACTGTATACCAAGTTTATTCAGAAATCATTCAATATGCATACAACATGGATATATATATTTTAAAATATATTTTAAACAGAAACTACAAATATAAGTACAAAAATCTGGAATACGAGTTTTAAATTAACTATTTAAAAGGTTGATATATAAGACTTATCCCGTCTTCCCATGGCCTGCCAGGTTTAACCATTATGTTGAAAAAAATCCTTTTCTGCAACTTTGACAACACCAAAGTCCATTTGAGGTTTAAAACTATCTTTGAGCTTTGAATAAGCAGATTTCCTATGAACAGTAAGAATATATTAAAAACAGTGTATACAAATTGATTGGATAATATTGAAAGAAAAAAAATTGCTTTATTTTTTATTTACACATATACCTGCCACACCTAGATGAGACATCTTTGAAAACCCATTTGTTAAACTCATCGATCAACTCAGTTGCAACCTCAAACCCATTGTGACTTTCAAACGGATGTTTAATACGAAATAAAATAGGAACTCTTTTTGAACTGCTTTCGCCTTCTGACAACCGAATATACGGAGATATGTCATACTTGCCGGGGTTCCTATTTCTTGGTTGCACATTTGGGGTTGTATTAGCATTGAGAATTGGATCAAGTGCAACAATCTGAGTCATAGTAAAATCTGGATAATCATCCAATGTTGGTGGTTTTGAATTTGATGATCCAGGTATGTCAGCATTAAAAACAACACCAATTGTTTGGTCATTTGACTTCTGAGCTTCATCTATATATTAAAAAAAATAATGTTAAACAAACTTTGAAAGTGAATATACATATCATAATAAGATTGAAATGCATACCATCCGTGTTTGAAGTATGAACGTATTCCCTCATTGAAATTGAAGGTTGATCCATTGGAGCTTTTTCAGATTCTTCAACATGTTGACGGGCATCATCCTAATGCATGACATAATATAAAATTCAATCATAAAATAATGCGAAAAATTGTCGCATATAAAATTTATACAAGATTAATACAAAAGTTTAAACAAACAACAATAACATTTCACTAATGTTGCCTTCATTTTCCAGTATTGTGAAGGCAACATAAAAAATTGAACAATAATAGTTAAAACATTATTAATACAGAAAGTTAATAAAAAATTTATAGTTAGTGAACCAACATAAAAAATTGAACCAACATACTGGAAACTGAAATTATTGTTAATACCAAAATTGAACCAACATAAAAAATTGAACCAACATACTGGAAACTGAAATTATTGTTAATACCAAAATTGAACCAACATAAAAAATTGAACAATAATAGTTAAAACATTATTAATACAGAAAGTTAATAAAAAATTTATAACACCACTGACAAAACTGGAAAATCATACCAATTTAATTCAAATATTAAACAGACAAAAACTGAAAAATATTAAACAGGCAGAAACTGTATAAACATTTTGGTCATACTAATTTAATACCAATATTAAACAGACCGAAATTGGAAAATCATGCATAAAATTTGGTCATACCAAAATAATACTAACTTAATCTAAATTCGTACATCTCATATTTACTTACACATACACACTTCATATCATGATACACCAACTATTTCAGTTTTTTAACTTGTAAAACCATTTAATACCTGTTGGTGTGTTGCTTGTGATGGTTGACCTCTTGAAGACACAATCTCCTCAATTATCAACTTTGTCGAATTGTCGACATATGCTTTCATGTCGGTCATGTGCTTGTCAACCTTATCAATAGATGTAGATATATATGTTAAACATTAAAATATTACAGAAACATAATTAATAAAAATTAATTGAAAAGGGATTGAAAAATAACATTATCTTTCAGTTCTTTCAACTCCATCTGAACCTGTCATTAAACATTGAAAAGGTGGATAAAATCTGTATAATATGGTAAAAAAAATATTAAATCATAATTTTTAATTGTATACCTCCGCAATTTCCTTTTTCAACTCTACATACTTTTTGTCAAAGTCAACATCGTGCCTTTCTGATGTTGCTTGATCTTCTGTCTCATGTTGACTAGAAGATTGATGCAAATTGATCTGATCCATGACATTTAACTCTTCGTCAGTAAGCACTATGTTTCTGAATTTATGCTGTGATAACAAAATAAGATGTGAGAACTAAAATTTATAATAAAAAAAAATGTAATAACTTATAATTAGTAAATGACAATAACTAAATGATAACCTGGTTGTCATGTGTTCTGAAAATCGTATTCTTTAAGTCATCGAAAAAAATACTCTCATTCGATGTCTTCCGGTTGAGAATACGCGGTGTGACATTTGAAACATGGATAGCAACTGTGTTGTCAAAAGGATGACAACACTCATAAAACCAAACCTGCAATGCTATATGGAATTGATTGAATTTGAATGACGTAGGATTCTTTCCCAACCTACGGCTGCAAGCTTTAAGAGTTAATCTAAAACATTCATTGCCCCATGGGAAGTTGACATATTGACCGGACTCAACCAAATCAAAATACAATTTAGAAATAGTTGTTTTTGAGGCCTCCGAACCAGTCAAAAATGAAGTAATGAAGTACATAATGCCAATTTTTAAGCGGTCTTCAGTCTCAAAAAAGTTAGCATGTTTAAACTTATTGAAGAAGTCTAACTTAGGAACTTTTGTCATATCCCCAAAATATTTTAAGATAATTCTATTGGGAATATACGGATCTGAAAAAAAATCAGTAAGAAGTCCACATTTAAGACCAGTTATAGCTGCAAATACCTTGATTCCAAAACGT